TCCCAGTGAGTCCTGCAAGAGAGGTTTCATTCTGACCAGACGTTTCCATGTATGCCAGCATGCAATCCAGCGCGAGCCGTTTCAATTCGAAACATGTCACTTATTGATACGCGCCCCCAACGAGCTATAGTTGACATGCCACACGTGTCACGGGGGCCTGGACAAAGGGATCGGATGACAAAGGTTACACAACAACAAAGAAAGGGGATCACGGGAGCCCAGAGTCGGACCATAACGAGGGCTGCCTCCGGCCTCTAGGGCTCACTGACTTGTTGTATTTTAGAGACATAGACCTCTGACCCTCAAAGCCGTTTAGGAAAAAGTCGATTATTAAATTGGCATTAAACCCTACTGTCCCAAGCCCAGTCACCTCGTACATATCCACTACCGGTTACAGATGAGAAGGCTTTTTTGACTTGGCTACGCCCGTTAGTCCTCTGATGACACATGCAACAAAGCAGCTCACCTTCAAGTTCTGCCCCCTTCATCGCGAGCCTCCTCAACGGCGTACCGTCGACAAATCTCTCCGCCAGCGCATCCGCTGCATCGTAAAGAGCCAAGAGCCTCTCGGCCCTCAGCGGCGCGTTTTGCAGCTGCTTGGCCAGCATCATGCTCCTGCCATCATTGACCCTCAGCTGCTCCTGCAGAAAGGCCTCGACGCCCTCGTGGAACCCGGCCGCCGGCAAGATCCTATTCACCAGGCCCCAGTGCTCCAGCTCCTGCGCGGTGAGTTTCCGGCCAAACATGAGAAAGTCGTTGGCGCGGTGAACCCCCATGCTCTGCGCAAAGTTGCGTATCGACCCGTTCTCGGGGACGAGGCCGAGCGCCGAGAAGGGCACCTGCAGGAAGGACGACTCCACGGCGAAGATGATGTCTGCCAGCCCTAAGAACCAGGCCGCTCCGCCGCCGACGGCAGGGCCGTTCAGGGCGACGACGAGCACTTTCTGGTGCTCTATTATAGAGCGGACCAGCTCCACGCCTGCGAGAAGATGAGAAATTGGGCAGGGCTAGATGGTTGGGATGTGAGTACCTGGGAACAGCTGTGTGGAAAATGCGAGCTTTGCCTCGGTTTCGTTTGCAAATGGGCCGAAGTTGACCAACGTGCCCCCTGGACATGTCCTTTGTTGAGTCTTCTGATATCCCTTGCTTAACGGGGAACGTACGTACCTCTAATGTCGGCGCCGGCGGAAAAGTACCGTCCTTGGCCGGTGAGGACTGTGAAAACAGTATCCGGGTGCTCGTTCAAGTCCCGGACTGCATCGATTGTTTCTTGCAGCAGTTTCCCACCAAATGAGTTGAGGGCATGGGGTCGATTAAGCTATGGGCGGTTAATAACAAGCTCTCAGACGTTTAATGACATGGCAGATACTTTTATGGTTCCGACTTGACCGGTAATTTCCACAATGATATCATTGTACTGTTTGGTTGACATGTTGTGAACTTGCGAACTGGAAATAGAAGGGTAAATTTCCGCAACGAAAAAAGTGCAGTATCCGAGGCAAAATAAATCAAAAGTTGATGATGGAACCGCGTGTCTCCTATAGGTTTCTTCTCGACAACGGCCCGGTGTCTAGGATGGCAATGGCGATACGTTGAAGCTTGACTATTACCTCGGCTTACGGGCGGGGTAAGTTGTCACTGAGGCTGCCGGATCATGGATCGACGCCGATTAAGCTTCAGGGGTGACACATACCGAGGCCAAGCCACAATCAAAGATTCAATCACCTCTCGCTGGAAGGTATCCATAGACTGCCAAGTTGGGAAATAAAGACCCTAGCCACGGCGCGCCGATAGGAGGCCTAGCAATGCCGTTGAGCCCGCATATCAATTGCCAAGATCAATTACATGCCCTTTCTACGGGAGAGCAGCACAACAAACGCAGCATCTGTATACTTGCATCTAAAAAAGACTTGGCCTGCAAAAACCTCATTACACGACACGTCAGCTAGACAAGATACCCCTATATCTTGGCAGACACTTCAAGGTCACTCTTGCTCTGCTCTCGAAGAAGCCGCTTCAGAATCTTGCCGCTCGCATTCTTCGCAATGGCGTCGACAAACTTGACACCCCCCGTCAGAGCCTTGTACTTGGCCAGCCGGCTCTCCATGTACTCCCTGACCGCCCGCTCGTCCAGCTTCAAACCCTCGCCGCCGGGCCGTCGCACAACAAACGCCCGTGGGAACTCGCCCTCGGCCCCGGGGAGAGCAACGCCAATAACAGCAGCGTCCACAACCTGCGGGTGCGAGATGAGGACGGCCTCGAGCTCAGACGGCGCCACTTGAAAGCCGCGCACCTTGATGAGCTCCTTCTTCCGGTCGACAATGTACCACTTGCGCGTCTTGCCGTCGCAGTAGCCTATGTCGCCCGTCTTGTACCAGCCGTCCGGGTCGAAGCTTTCCGCGTTGGCCGTGTTGTTGTCAAAGTAGCCCGGGGTAACGGTCGGGCCTCGAACGCAGATTTCGCCGCGGACCCCGTAGTCGCGTATTTCGTGGCCGTCGTCGCCAACAAGCCTAATAGTACATATACTGTCAGTTGGTGTAAAAGACGCGAATGGGCGAAAATGCCTGCCAGACGAACTTTAACTCGACGTTGGGGATGATCCGCCCCACGGAGCCGGTGTCGTCGTGCTCCCCGTAGGGAAACATGGTGGCGACGCACGACGTCTCCGTCATTCCCCATACCTGCGTCAGTGCTGCTTCGTTGCTGAGAAGACGCTGGAGTCTAGCTTGGAGCTGCTTGTCCAGTGGCGCGGCGCCGCAGCGAGCGTTCCTGACGGTAGCTAGGAACGGCCTCGTCGTTGCATACGGGGACGTTACAATGGCAATGGCAATCGGCGGCACGAGGCCAAGCTCCGTGGCGCGAAAAGCCTCCACGGCGTGCAGAAACGCCTTGAGCTCGAACCGGCGCATCATGAAGACGACGTGCCCGGAGGCGAGGGCGCTGACGTGCGTTCCCGGGGCGGCTGCGGCGTGGAAAATGGGAGTGGCGACGACGCGGGACACCTGGTTCGCAGAGGAAAGACGCAAAGTCAGTTCTCGGACGTGGTAGGGCCATCACGCAGTCTGGCGGTGTGCGTGACGAGAGGGCATTCGGGGATGGGGCCAGGTTAGCCTACCTCGTATGGCCGGTGGTCTGCCTTGACCACGAGTTCATGCTGGGCGATCAAATTATAGTGTGTGATGGTCACGGCTTTTGGGAGCCCGGTTGTGCCGCTGCTGAAAAGCCTCGCGGCTGTCGTCGACTTGGAAGCATCGTGGTCATCAAATCGAAGCCAGTCTTGCTCGCCGTGCTTTTGCAGATCCGTCCATGGCCGCCTGCCTGCGGGAACTTGCTGACCCAGGGGATTGAATATCCAAATGTTATCATCGGGGATGTTGTTGTCCCTGGCGGCTTCAAGGAGAGGATTGAGTATCTCTGGCTCAGATATCAGAAAGCTGCACCGGGATGTCTTGATGTGGTGACTGAGCTCCCCGGCCGTGTATGCCGGATTTGTGCCGGTGAAAATCCCGCCGGCACCGATAATGGCCAGAACGAGCATGGAATAAGAAATCTGTACGGTTAGCGTGAGGAAATACCGTCACGGAGCGGATTTCGCGGCTCACATCATTAAATGAGTGGATGGCGATGCAGTCCCCCGGCTTTACGCCCGCTGCTCGAAGACCGGCAATGAGCTGGCGGATGATGACTCTGGCTTGATTGCATGATATTGTACGGGTGCTGTCGTTTGTATCCACATACACCTGCATCATAAATGATTAGTGTGGCTGCATGAATTCAATTCCGCATGCACATACTGGTTTGTCCTGGTCGTAATCGGGTTCGTCAAATATGTAGGACAGGATGTCCTTGGTTGGGAGGTCGATCTGTCTGCTTGCTTTGAACATGGTGGAATGCAATTACATCTAGAACAAAGGAGGTTCGGGTCTGTTTATACCAAGATGGAGGCTGAAATTCGTGCTATTCGTCACGTTTATTATATATTGCAGATTGAGAGTTGAGACGGTTCAAGCAACGTCCATGTCGACTTACAAGCCGAGGTTTGACTGCACAGTGCTGGTGCCATTGATGCGGGGTAAGCTCAGCTCAATTGACAACTTCGACCTTGGATTCCGAGGTGGTGGCTGGGTGGTTTGGCTGACACAAGGTCCGTGCCTGTAAACTATTGAGCAGTGAGACAAAAGAGGGTTGTGTGACAGGTCCTGGACCTGTTCAATGTGAGGACATCGGATGCCAGACGTCCCGTGCTGCATACGCCATCAACCGGCACACACCGGGCCTTGCACTGTGCGAGGACTGTCGATCAAGTACACCCTAGATTGACTACATAGATGCAACTTGACTGTATGCTGTTCCCTCGACGGTTCACGTGCCTTGAAAAGATTCATCATGACAGTTGGCGACAAAAAGTGTTGAACCACCTCAGGTGCCTGGCTGTTACGCTCTTTTACAACATGCTATAATAAATTAGGCAATGCTTGGTCACGATTATACTCTACTATAATACACTCTATTTTGCTAGTATATAATATAATAAGGCAGAGTATCGCGGTTTCGTCTGCCAAACTCAGCGGCAGTCGACGCCGCTTTTGGCTGCAACTGCTACGCGGAAATGGCCCAATGTCACGGTCACGAGACCTAGGGCAAAGTCCTTCACTGACTTCTTATATTTAAAGACACCTTTGGCCAACGAGGCGTTAAGGAAAACCAAGGACCTTTAATATCAAAGACTGTTATTATATGAATCAAGTTATGATACTCTAAGCCTTTAGCCCTTGTCACAGTCAGTCTCTGACTTCTGATGCTCGTGACAGCAACGTGGTCGTCCCATAAAATGATAAATTGCTATATGAGGCATTCGCCATGACAGTCTAGTGCTCTTAATTATATCACACTTCCTTGTTGACTTTTATATGCCACCTAAATGATAGTTAAGTTAGAGCAGGGTGGCTTCTTGGCTTTAAGCAGATTTTCCCAAATTATAGAATCACGCCGCAGTTCCACTAGCCCTTGTCATCCTCTAATCTCTTATTATCCTGTTTGGCCTTGAACTTTTCAGCATTCCGCGCAATATAAGTCCAATCATCCTGGTCATTCATAGATGATATAGCCGTTTGACCTTGTTCGGTGAGCCTCAATCTTGTTCCTTCATCCTTGCCCTCCTTTTTGCAAGTGCTTCCTTTACGATAATACCGCCAAGACTATGGGAGATGAAAAGCATTGGCCGCACGTTATATTCCTACGTAGCAGTGATATATTAGCGTTAATAAAACACCCGGCAGATATTTCGGCACCGGTTGACCTTTTGTCTCGAAATCAAGTGGCTTAACAGATTTTTCGCCTGTTCTTGCACACCCGCGATTGACGCCCCATGAAGAATGTTGGCGTTATATCGAAAGGCTAGAATTCCCGCTTCCGCCATTCGTAAGGGTATGAGGTCACGGAGCCAGTTGAGCCTGGTTGTCCTGACAGTATAGGCACTTTCGGCATGGCCCGGCATGTTTTGCAAGTTCATTCCATGTACAGCAACTATGCTTCCTTTGATAAGTTCCATGTGTCAAATCGATTCATAAAAGTGTAGGGAAGACTAGCTCTACTCAGTTGGCATTCCGACTCCACGCCTGCCCCGGCAGCCTAGTCATGCATAATCAGTCCAACTCACCAAGTCAGTTTGTTCCCCGGAACACCAGCTTTACCATAGTAGAGGATGATTCTGCAACGACAGAGATCTAGGCCCAGGGTTACGGGGCGGAGCAGGTCTCTTTCTCTTTAAGAATCCTTTGTTGAACTTGGTTTCAACTCGCCTCCATATATTAATACCCTTCAGCCAGTACATAGCGAGGCGAGTTGCAATACGTGTGTAAGGGATAACACGCTGCTATCCGTGCCTTTTTGCCTCCAGTGTCTGGACAAAAGTGATGATCGATACCTCATACGTCTATTCGGAGCTGTCAATAATTTAACATGCCAAGAGGTAGTTATATCTTAGCGGCCCTAGCTATATAATACGGCTATGTTCTCGTTACTATACCCCCCCGTGTATTTTTACACTGTAACACGTGGGAAGCGAGATTCGGCTTTATTTATATTACATTTATACCCGTATTAATATTACTTGGCGCGTTTATTCAGGCTGTCTTATTACTATAATTTTACATATAGAATACACTGAAACATGTGGATATTAGTTATCCAGCTAAATTTGATTAATGGCCACATGCATGCATGTTATATTATAGCTCCGTGCCTCCTGGCAGACTAAAACACAGCTCCACCTACTCTCTGTTGAACGTCACAGCGGAAC